TATTAAATACGCCCCCAGACTTTGTTTTCTAGCAGACTCGCCCGGGTTAAAGTTATAAGGGACCCTTGTTTCTACCTCAACATCACAACGTCTAAATGTGGTAATAAAATGGGGCTAGAACAGGATTCACTTACATGGAAGAAGAAAAATGTTAGTATTTCCCTAGACATTACTATTTCCCTAGGTAAATTCTCCTTTCCACTGGTAGAGAGTGAACATCTGGATATAACACACAGAGATATTGAAGTGACCACCTTCAGATTTTGCATCTTGAATATAAATACATCCGTCATCCTGACATTGGCCATTGAATAAAATCTGTGCCTATGTGCTTTGTACAGTTGTGTATATGTGATATGCAAGAGTGTAAAAGTGCATGTGTGCGTCCCTAGCAGTCTGTTTTTGTTTTTGTTTTTTTAAGTGTTACGGGTCGGGGGCGACGTGGGAGACAGATCACTCTGGTTTTAAAGCAGCAGGGCTCAGGGAGGAGTTACCAGAGGTAGGATAGAGGTCTGTGCCCGGGGTCGGGGCCTCTGTGCTGAAACCGGCTCGCTGGTTTGCACCGGAATTCCTCTGGGCATTCACTCGTTCTTTTACAACCCAACTCAGCTTCTCTAGACTGCGACGGTGGGAGAGGACGGGCGGCCCTCAGAGGACCCTCCTTTTCGTTCTGGGCGCTCAGAGCGCGCAGGACTCCGCATGCACAGGCGTGTAGGTTCTCGGCTCCGCCACTGTGGGCACGCCTTGCCCGCCCACCGCGAGCTTGAGCCCTGTACCTCTGCACGTCTTGGCGCCCAGGCCCGCGGAGGGCGGGATCCATGCGGGCAGCACCCCGGGTCGTCTCGGAGGAGGAAGAGACTCGCAAGTGCGCGACGTCGCGGCCTCTCTAGGCTGTTTGCTCTCCTGGGGAAGGGGGTGTGTGGCGGGGGAAGGAAGAGGATGTTTGTTTATAGATCAGCTCCGGTTTCTTCCCGCGTTAGGACCGCGTAGACAGTGCCCGATCGCCAGAGGGCTGCAGTTTGAGGCACCCGCGCAAGGAGGCGACGGCCTAGCTTCTCCTAGGGTTCCTGTTTGGTGTTGGTGGGTCGCGTGTGCCCGTCTTTTTCCTTTCTGGGGCTTTTCCCCTTACATTGGCAAAGAGGTGGGTAGGATTAGCCTCTTAAGCGTCAAGAAACTCGTTTAAAATTTCTCCTGCTAGAGGCGAAAGGCGATTCTCGGAGCACGTGGGAGGCTCCCGAGGTCCCGGTTCCAGCCCCTACAGGCGTGGTGCGCGCGGGGCCGCGGGCGGGGTCGCCGGGAGGGTGCGAGGCAGGGGCCGGCACCGGGCGGGGGAGTGCCGGAGCCGCGTTCTCGCTCCAGCCGGGGTTCAAAGATTAGAAAAACAGGTGTTACGTCGCCATGCTAATTCACTCTCTCGGTAAACGCGGCTCAGACAGTTGTGTGCGGAGGACTTAGTGAGGGGGCCGTCACCACTTGGCCGCGCATTCACTTTGTTTATTAAAGGACACGTTCCCAGTTCATCGACTACCGAGCTTCACTGGGACACTGGAGCAACCCTCCTGGCCCCCACCCCCAGGACGTCGCCTTTGGTGTGAAGACTTCCATACTCATCTTGCTGCTGAAGGCAAAACACTACATTTCTTCGGCGCAAAACGCACCCTGTAATGGGAGGCGTGCACTGCCTGATGTCCCTGCGACGGCCGAGGGTTTCAGACCACAGCAAAGCGCCAACACACCTGCATGTTGTTTGAAGTGGAGATAGGGTTTACAGGAACCGCCGACTTAAGTGACATCCTTTCTAGAACAGTCGGAATAGAAGACTGCTTCTTACCCCTGAAGGGTCATTGCTTCGCCTGGCCGCTCCATATTACCCCTAAGTTCTGTCCAGGTTGGGGGCGGGGAGAGTGGGGAGAAAGAAGGATCTCAGGAAGGTTCTTTCAACCTTTCCAAACAACCGCCCCTCTACTCTTTTTTTGTAGGGGTCAACTTGATCTTATCTGGTCTTTCTGCAATCTTGTGTATAAGGGAGCCACAGTACATCTCTCTCTCTATTCCTACTCATCTCTTGTTAAGAGTGTGTTATTTGGTGGTTGAACCGCCCAGAGCCGGGTCTTTAAGTGGCTACAGCCTCTGGGGAAATGACTCCTCCTTCTAGATTAGAGCCCATTTGCTGGATTCCGCTTTTGGAACACCTACCACATCTCTATATTTAGTTCTTTTTCAAAAAAGTTTTGTTTTGTTTTTCTGTCCAGAACGTTCACCACCTCCTCCTGCCAGGTGTTTCCCAGATGTGTAAATACCCCGAGGACGTTCCCATTGTCGTTCTTCGAGCTTACTGCCTTCGGGCGGCAAGGAGGTGGCAGATGTGTGTATTTTTGAACAACCACTCAAAGTTGTTCCGAATATCAGCAAGATGGCACACACCCCTCTTCAGAGTATATGTTTTCTTGGAGGCAATCAGTGCCACCAACGAGAAGACGAGTGCAACATGACTGGTGTTCTCACTCTTTTGCCGCTGATGAAACAACCGCCTCCGAGTCGACCTCCAAGAGCAGAATCGTAGTCACCAGCAGCACCAAAACCAAGCAGGGAAGCGCATCTGTAGGGAGTGATTCGCAAGCAGCAATAATTGTCTTCCGGGACGAGTGAACTTCCCGTCGCTATCTTTTTTCTATCCTCAGATGACAGAGAAGGCGATTCAAATGAGAGGTTCTCTTAAATAGAACTTGTCAGCAATAGTACTTACAAGCGTTTGTTTAAACGGCTCCTGTAAGGGATCGTAAATGTTGTAGATTCATTCGTGCAGACTGTATCCCTTCTGTAAGGAATATTCATGTTGGACTTTTGTTTCCTGAAACAAAACCCAACAAAAACTCTTCGCTCACGTTTATGGTAACGGATTATTGTGAGATACTTTATATCAACGACTCTAACTCTATTTTGGCCTGAAATGTAACCTCTTTCCCCCTAGTGTCCCCTATCTGCTCCCCATAGGAAAACTCCATGACTGAGCTTTCTCCCGGGAACAAATCAGCCCCTAGATTCGACCCATTTCCAAAAAGACGCTCCTCTTTGGGATTCATTTAAATAAGGGTGTATTTATCCTCTCTGGCGATGCATTCGGTGTCGCCGTGGTTTCAGAGAAATGAGAAAAAGAAAATATAGCCCAAAGAAAACATAACCCACCGGCCCCGTGGACGCTGTGGGCCCCGCGACTTGCCCGGGGGAAGGGAGCGGCCGCCTGGTCGGCCTTTGGGTGAACATCACCCGCAGCCTGGGCTATTCCTGCCTCGCCTGCCGGGCCACCCAGCCCCCGGGCCCGATCTTCGCGGCCAGGGGCCGCTGCCCACCGCCTTGGGGCGCCCCCTAGCACTGCGGGGCCGGCGCTCGGGGCTGAGTGCACAGACACTCAACCCCCGGGATCGCGGGGAGCGCGGGTGGGTCCTACACGTCGCCCTCAAGGCCCGGGAGGCCGAAAGCAGGAGCTGCTAATAGCCGGGCAGCGCAGACACCGGTACCCCCGGCTCGTGAGGAGCGCTGCGAGCGCGGGTAGCAAGACAGCGAGCCGGGAGCCCGGGTGCGCTGGGGGGAGGCGCGGTGCGTGCACGCGTCATTCAGCTCGGTCGACCTATGAGCGCCGCGCCCCGGGACGCGCCGGGCCAATCAGAAGCGAGGAGGTTTGTGAGTGGCATTAGGGGAGGGCGGGAGAGAGGGAAGCCGGGAGTGAAGTTGAAGCTAAACCCTGTAAACCATTAAGAAGTTAGGGGGGCGTTTTCGGCTTCCAGTCAGTAATAATACTGGCTTCGTAGCAACTACCGAGGAGGAGGATTCTAAAACCACCTCACCCGTCCCAAAGCCCGCATCCCCCTCCTTCTGCCACGCACCCCTCCCCCAATTCATGACCAAGAAAAGGAGAGCCAGGGCACGCTCTGCTCCTCTCTGCGGGTGGGAAGCAGAGAGGCCCGAGGAGAGGCTTAGTTGGACGGTAGGCATGAGTGCAATTAAGAGGTGGGCGCCTGCGCACGCTTTGCTGCCAGCGGGGACTGAAGGTAGGTGAAGCGGAACACGCCCTGCGCCCGCCCATCGGCGCCCGCAGCTCTACGGCGGAGGGGGAGAGGCCGGGAGCCTCCCGCCCCCCGGTGCCTGCGAGGGGCTGTCGCGAATGTGCCACCTGTTAACCTGGCGCAGCCGTGCCCGGCGTGTTGCCGCCCCTGCTGGGCAGGGAGAGCGCTGGGTCGCCTCCTCGGCAGTCCTGAGGGACTTGATGTTTAAGTGCTACATTTTGAGGAATCCCCGAGACTTGAGACCCAAGTTAGAGAGCCAAGTTCCGGGCCTGCCAAAGTGAGGGGACGGAAAGGTGCCCGAGCGCTGTGGAGGAATTGTGATTTGCGGAAACCTGCCTTCCTGGGACTTGCGCCTGGCCTGGGCGGGGGCACGGGGACCGGCAGCTGAGGGGCTCCTAAGGGTCTTGCAAAATCTGCGTTTTGTTGTTTGGGCAATTTCCCAGGGGGCTGGAGAATGTGTCTGACGGGGGTGAGAGAATGGGAGCGTTATTTGCAGGGGACTCAGTCTCGCTGCTGATTTCTCCAAATCTTAACCAACCACCCGACCAACCAACCAAAACACTGAGCCCGGCGAGGAAAGCTGAGGCGCGCTGAGGCCCTTCCCGGCCATTTTTCAGAATTGGGGCGAGCGCGCGAGTGATTGTGGAGCCGCAGATCTCTTACGCTCTGATGCTGTTGTCTTCACAGTGGCCTGAAAGTGTTGTCCGGCGTTCCTGTTCTTCCCAAAGCGGCTCGGAGCCGCCCTAAGGGCCGCGGGACTGAAAGCAAACGTCGGGGATTATTATGTCGATTTCCCGAGAACCGGGGTTCGCAGCGCGGAACCGAAGAAAAGGCCAGCTCCTCGGAGGTCCCGCCGGCATTTGATACCCAGCGACGCCTAGGATTGCCCAGATCGCCTAGCGGTGGATCAGCAATTTTCCTCTACTCGCATCCCATATTTTTAAAGAAAAAATTTTCTGTTCGCCGCGTTGGTCTTTTACTGCCATCAAAACACTGAAGCAAAGACTTCAGTCTCGTCATTCAAAGTATGCTTTATATTTTTGCCAAATATGATCTCTAATTGAAAGTTTACTTTTGGTTTTGGATGAATCTGTGGAACTTATGTTGTAAGAAGAAAGGGGGAACGAGACACGATGAAAGAGAAGTCCAAAAATGCTGCCCGGACTAGGAGGGAGAAGGAAAACAGTGAATTTTATGAACTGGCTAAATTACTGCCTTTACCCTCGGCTATCACCTCGCAGCTGGACAAAGCATCCATAATCAGGCTCACCACCAGCTATCTCAAAATGAGAGTAGTGTTCCCAGAAGGTAAGTGACTTTGCCCAGATGGAATTTCAAAGGCAGAAGGGGCACGGGATCTGCCAGTGAATGAGCCTACGCCACTGGGCAGAGAAGTACATTCATACTTACACACACACTCTCTGCGAAGGGAAGTTTAGCATGGCTGCTTAACTAAGGACCTCTCTGCATTTAGAATTTCTGTTGCCTTTCCGTGGCTCTTTCTACTTCCCCATTAATACTTTCTCTTCAGTCCATCATATGTTTGATTGGGAAGCAGCTCAACAGTGCTTTTGTCAACACTTAGATACTGAGCTCAGTTGAAAGTACTACTAATCCAAACATGACTTTCTTTTTTTATTCCTCTTGTTAGAATTGTATCTAGCAGAGAGCAGGAACATCTCTAACTTCTTGTATTTTTGTTACGTCTAGATACACCCAGGTACATAGAGCTAGCTAAGGCAGATAATAATTTCTCTATATGTCAGTAATCCTGCAGATGAAGAGCAGGCATATTCATGAACAAATATGTCCTGAATTTACCCAGTCTCTTGACTGCTTCTAGCACATTTTTTTCTGAGTTGTTGAGATGTTCACAGATTCCAAAACTAACTCTGGGACTTGGTGATTTGCAACTCTGGGCTTGATATTTTCTCTAAGATATAAGATTGAATTAAGATCGCTAGCCCTCTCAGAAAATATCTTCTAGGTGGTAGGTTGGGAAATGGATCCCTGGGAAAATTGTCTCATAAGGCCTAGAAGTTAGAATAGCTGAGCTTTTGACATGGTTTAAAATGTGTATTTAGATTATCAAGGTTCATTGTGTGAGGACAGAGTAGCCTTGATAGAACACTGTCCTGTATAAAACCATTTATACTCCCTAGGGGAAGGACTCTTCTATTTCCCCATCCTTTCCTTTACCCACATTCAAATAACACATAAACATTTAAAAAAATATTTTAGATATGTCTTTGCTGGGAGAGGAGGCTTTGTAAATGTAGAGAACCAGGAGAAGGAAGCCTGTGTACTTACAAACCAGAACTTCTTATGTGACAAAGAGAGGTTTATGTTATTATTGATTTTGGATGTTTGTTGTTTTCTTTTAAGGAAATGGGGGCGGGATAATCATAATCATTATTGGGCTTTGAGTTTCACTTTGCTTCATCTTGACTAAAAGTTATTATCTGAATCAAAATCTTGCAAAACATGCCCCCAAATTAGTCAGGGGCACTAAAGGAAAACTTTCCAATTATAGTTCGGTTTTACCCCAAAACTATAAATAGTAGTGTGGTCATTTTGTCTTAAAGCAGTTCCTTGAACAATCTCATTTGAGCCTCGAAACCACAGGAAGAGAGGAATCAAAACCTAACATACCTGAAAAGTTTTAAAAAGAGAGAAAGAGAAAAAGGAGGGGGAACATATATTAAAAACCATATTTCCCATTCAAACTGTGCTGAGAATTGCTGGTGGGAAAATTACTATTATGCTGCATTGCCTTCTGTTTAAAAAAGAGATCTCGTTGTCTTCATACTGTCAGCGCCTACTTTATAAAAATAAAGCTATTGCGAACTCCGCTGGCCGCTCTGTTCCTAACAGGATTATTAGCAGTGATTTGTCAGCCCCTGCGGTCTCAGTGGGCTCCCTTTCTGCGTGATTTCTAGCGGGTCTCGTCAATTATCGGTGCCGATGTCGCTCGCTGTTTGATCAGAAGAAGCATATGGTGCTGCTTGTGAGGCTGCGAGTAATCGCGGAGGAAGAGAATAGAGGGTCGGCTTCCCCGGCGGGCACAGAGAGGGACAGAGCGCCCGGGCAGTCGCCAGGCCAGGGCCTCGTTTGTGTCGTGCAGACCCCGGGCAGGCGCGGCCGGAGGGAATCGGGCTGATTCTCGTTGTTTTGTTTTAAAGAGAGCAAGATTTCTTCTTTAATTAAGTGCTGACCCCACAAATTATAAATTGCGTGATAAATAAATAGGAAAAGTAAACTCTCTTAGCCAACTTCTCGTTATTTTTAAAAAGAGCGCCGGTGAAAACTCCGGCTGGAGTCCCCTTGGTGCCCAGGCCGGTCCCCTGTGGCTACTTTAAAGGCGACTGTGCTTTCTGCAGCCCCACTCACCTTCCTTCGGAGCTCTGGGCCCCGGGCCCCTCCTTCCTCTCCCTTCTTCTGTGGATGCGTGTGGGTTTATTGGGAGGAGGGGATGGACGATGTGTGAACTCCGGGCACATCATTTATTTCCCCAGCTACTGTTGAGCTCATAACTCACCCGTAGCCTCCACCGGGTGAGTTAGACAGGGTCATCCGGACAGCTGGTTCCTAGGGATGAGGTTTTAATTTTGAGGATAGATTAGCTTCAAAAGTCCAAAACCCTAGGCACAGCCCTTTAAAATATTAAAGGATAACAGCAACAAACAGTAAAACCAACAGTTTTCAAAAGGAGTGAAATAATCACAAGCCCGCAGAACCAAGCACAACCTGCAGAGGGTGCGAAGTTTGGGTTCAGCTGTTGACTGACAGCAGAAGGGGGAACAAGAGTGGGTCCATGGCAGTGGGGGAAACTGAGCACTTTATATGGGGGTAAACTTTTTTAGTGCTGAGAAATGGGAAAGAATTTGTTTGAAATGAAGTTCATATCTGTCTTAACACCATCTTAGCACATAGTAGGTCTTCAGTAAAATTTTAAGGGTGGGATGAAAGTAGCTATTTCATCATGCTAAGCCTGCTATCATATGTAACATGGAGTATGCAAGGTATATAATCTAAAATACTTCTAAATCTGGTGACATCTTAGTTACAGGCATAAAAATGACTGTAAAACTCCACTGTTTTTGCTCATATTACATTTTATTTTTAATACCCTGTAATTCTAAAAGACTTAAAACAGAAATCTTTCCATACTTATATGTAAAAGAAAATTAAAAATCCTTAATTCTCTCCCCCCTCATTTGCTGAATACAGTTTTCCCCCCCTAGGATAGCAGATTCCTTGTCTGGGAGCAAACTTCAGCTTTTATTTATCTGAGTAGATAAAATTGAGCTGTTGAGGGGAAAATGAGAGAGAGAGGGAACAGATGAATGGGCTATGGGTGCTCGGAATAATTAGGAATAAAGCATTAGATTGGAGATTTCATAGTAAAAACAAAAACAAAAACTCTGGTACAATTACTGTCATTAGAAATCATTAGAATTGCATATCTCCCAAGTGGTAACATATTCTATTCTAAAATAGCCTTGCAAGGAAAAAATTGGCACATTTAGATATGTATGTCTTTGGTGTTATCAAAACCAAAAAGGCAGGATAAAAAAAGTGATGATATGACTTTTCTGGGTGCAAAAAAGGATAAATTCAACTAAAATATATATATTTGTTATTTAGATATAATATAGCTTTGACTGGGGGCGTAGTGGCTTGCAGAATAACCTTTGAAAGGATAAGATGTTTTCAAATCTATGGCCATTCAGAATCTTGGTAACATCACTACTATTTCATTGTCAAGGTGTCCTGGGAAAATAAAAATAACGACAGAATTGAAATTAGTAGCTGTGTATGAAAGAGAGTTTCTACAAAGGCTGGAAGGACAAGGATGGTAAAACAAACCTCCACAGACACTTTCTGTAATAGTAACCTCAAGACTGAAATCCTTAATCGCCTTATATTTTTTTGAGGCCAAGAACTGAAAGAGAAAAAGAGGTCCCATTTCCCACGTGGATGGGTGATTTAAGGCTGTTTTTCTTGCTGCTTGGGGAAATGATTGAGCATTAGGTTTCCATGTTTATTTTCTTACAGAAGTTTTTCTCATTTAAACGCCTTCAAGCACAGTTTACGCTCCACGCTGGTTTTCTCTCTTTAATTCCAGTTTTGATGTTGACTTAAAATGTAGAGTGCAGAACTAAACTCCGTGCAGAGCATTTGCAAGGCAGATTTATGTGCTAGAAATTATAGATCAGATCAATGAAAAAAGTACTTTTTTTGAAAGGGGAATGATCACTAATAAAACCAATAACAACAACAACAGCAACGAAACTACAAAAACAGGGTATGATAAGATATGGCAGGGTACAATCACCTGTCTGAAGATAAAATCAGGCTAAATTTCCAGAGGTCAAATCCGATTTCTAGGGGAGTTATTTTTCAATTCTGGGGAGATCTTGGCAGCTTCCAGCTTTTGCAGCTACAAACGTGGACACAGAATTCGAACCTATGGATTCTCGCCTCATTTCTCTATCTTTCGGCTCAGGTATTTCTCAAGAGAATGAGGTTTAGACCCAACTAAAACCTTATGATTTTAGCTGCTCACCCAGTGCCAGTCTCTGATCCACGGAATTTTAAATTTTTCGTGGGAACGGGGAATCCTCAATTATTTCGCAGTGGGCCTGCGAATCAGAAAACGCTAAAACGGTGTGTGAGAATTGAGGAATAAAGCTCCTTCCTAGGGTAGCGCCCTCGGGCAGGCGGCTCCTGAGCGGAGTCACTCGACCTCGGTGGCTCGGACCAGCCCGGGGACAGCGACCTCGTCGAAGCCCCCGCCGCGCCTCCCGCAGGGCCCGCAGCACGCAGAGGGGAGAAGGATGTAGGCCGCGGCCGGCCGGCCAGGTCGGCGCCGTGCGGCCCATTCTCCCCCGGCGGCGGTGGCCCGCGACCCGCCCGCCTTCCCCCGGTGGCCGCAGCCGAGGGTGAGCCTGCTCGCGGCCTCCTCACGGCGTCTCGTCACTCCCCGCGCGAGCCCAGGTCTCTTCCCTCCCGGGACGCGAGGGCTTCTGCGCCCGTGCGCCCGCCGTCCCTCGTCCTGCGTGGGCCACTGCCCCGAGGCCCGGTCCTCGTCTAAAACTTAAGCCAAGATCCCGCCCGAGGGGCCGCTGTGCGTCTGTCGAGTCCCGACCGCCAAGTGGAACAAAAGCGGGATAGGCCCGCGCCGCTGGGCAGACCCGTCCGCCTCGCCCTCGCAGGGCTTCGGACGCCCCGTCAGGCTACCCTCGAAGGCCCGGAGTCTTGAGTGGACACCGCCTGACGCTCTCTGCCGCCTCGCAGCACTACCGTCAGCCCCTTATGCGTGTTCGTCCCACGGGTTAGTTGGCACCTGGCCGAACCTTGCCTGTCCCTCGTTCCTGCAGTACGTGTTCTCTCGGGGCTAGGCCCCGCCCGGGAAGCCCAAGCTTCGGGGCCGGGGCACCACGAGGGCGCAGAGGGAGAGTCAGCGCTGCGACCGTCGGTCTCCACCCCAAATTCACACTAACTTCAGCGGATCCCCCGCCCGCCCCCCCGGCAGAGGCAGGCAGGGGAGGGCAGGGTACACACGCACTGTGGGGGCCAGGCCGCCGCACGGGATAAAGCCCGGCCCCGCGCGGCCACCGACGCCCTCGGAAGGTCGGCCACACCCGCCAGGTGGCCCAGAAGGCCGCGCCGGGCGTCCGAGGTAGGCGTGGGTGCGCCTCGGTGAGCGAAGCGGCCTCCTGCCCAGTGACCGCTCCGGGCGCTCGGCCTCGGCTAAGCGCGCCCGACCTTCCCCAAGGAGCCCAGCCGCCCAGGCTCCCGGATCCCTAACACGAAGGCCCCTTGCTTGTGGGCTGGGAGGTTTGGACAGTGTGCTCTCAGTGAGCACGCACAGGCCCCTGTGGAAAAACCAGGTGGCTGAGACAAGTCCCCCCGCCCCCACCCCGGGACCAGAAGTTAGGAGCGCGGTCTCGGAGGGCTTTGCCCGTCTCAGTCACTAAGTTGTCGCCAGGTCATGGGACAGCTCCCCCAGCAACCCCATACTGGCTAAAGGGCACATCGCGATCCATCCAAGAGAAGGTTCCCAGGAACGACAACAAGGAGGACACCTTTCTATTCACGTATAGTGTTTATTTATTAAAGGAGAAAAAAACAAAACAGTAGAACAAGCTCTCTTCCTCCTCCTCTTCCTGTCTGAGTGAAGGAGGCGATGATGCCAGGTCTGTAATCTACATTTTGTCAAGGGTATGAAATTCATTCCGAAGGAAAAGCTCGATCAATTTATTTTTGCTGCTTGCAATAACACAGCTGGATGATGCTTTGAGCTCACGCTAGACTGGGGCTCATCATTCATTCGCCAAGAACGGGCCTAAATTGTGCCTGTGGGATTAGGTCAATTTTAGTGGATCTAGTTCGCCTCATTTGGTTACTAATTGGTTTCTTGTTTTATAAATCGAAATCTCATTTTCAGGAAATTACAAAACCCGTGCAGTCAGTCCATTGAGGTAATCCTTGGGTCAGGGGGTATTTAAATGGAAATGGCTCAACCGAGCACTGAGGGTAAAGCAACAGTGAAACTTCGCCCGGGGTTTCACGTGAAATGTGAGCTAGCCCTTTAGATCCATGATAGATACATCCCTTCTGATACTACTTATGTAAATATGATAAACCAGACTTTAAGGGAAGAGGGGGGCAGGGAGAAGCAAAATTTATCTGCTAAGGTTAATGTGGCATATCTTGGAAATCTTCCAAAATAGATTATGTTTTCTTTTGTCTTTGGCCACTTTAGCTGGGGAAAATCCTTTCGTCTAAAACCCGATTTAGTTATCGCCTCCCTCCCAGAGCTCCTTTTCTCCTTTGCAAAACCCCCGTTCTCTCGGCCTCACCGAATTACAAGAGAATCTTTAGATCTTGTTCCCACTGTAATCCTGCCGCAAAGGGAGTTGGTTTCCTCCTCATTTTAAACAGACAATCAAAGGATTTGCGAATTTTCTGCGGTAGGTCAAGTGCAGAAACGAAATCTCAGCTTACCCCCCTCGCCAACTGAAATGGGGTGCAGGAGTGCGTCACTGCAGGCAGAAGGTGAGGGGGTCCAAGGAGAGGGGTCTCTAGCCCACTCCGGGCTTTTCGGGAGGTGAAACCCATGAGCAGGGCTTCGAAGGTGTCCTGGGCAGGCTGACTGGAGAGCTCAGCCCTGATATTAGGTCAGGAAAGCTCGGCAGGTAGACGAGGGCAGCCAGTCCCTTATAAAACATTAACCCAGGCATAACCGTGTGACGGAGCTTTCAACCGGGAACAGAAGAGAAGGCGATGCTCGGTGAAAGCAAAAGGTTCCTTAAAAGGTGGTGGTGGGGTGTGTGTGTGAGGGCGGATACAGGAAAGGGCGACGGAGGCCCCTGTCACCCTGCGCCCGGCCCGGCTGCTTATTAACCTGCCGGTAAGTCTTAATTTTTCCCTCGTAGGCTCATACTAATGAGGCCGCAGCCCGAGACCACAACCAGCCAAGGCTGGCGCCGGGAGTTCGGAACCAGTACTTAACCCTGAGCCCAGCTCGGGGGATTTTCAGATGATTCGGGTCGGGAGGCGACTCTCCGGCGTCCCCAGCCGCTGTGGGGGGACCTTCATAAGTTTAGAATAAAGACCTGTGTTGGCTGCAGGCGCAGGCTTCTCACTCTTCCGGGAGCTGAGGAAGACGGGATTCCAGACACAAGGCGGCCGCGACCACCTCCCTGCACGCCCTAGCGCCCGGCCCCTCGCCCCAGCGAAGCTTTGGGCTTTCAGGCCTCGGCTGGGCCCGCGGTGTCCAAGGGTCAGCGCCATGCTGGTCCCGGGCTCTCCCAGCAAGATCCTTTCCCCTTTCCCCGTGCGGCCTCCCCGGCTAACCCCTCCCCCCACTTCTTCTGGGTGTGTAGGTGTGATCCGGGATGAAAACATGAACAGGTCGTGCCAGAAACCAAGGAGGATAGCTTGACTGAGACGGGAGGAGCGAAGGGAAGGTGACAAGGCGAAGGGGTGTGTACAGGCGGCTGTGGCGGAGGACCTCCCGCACGGTCCAGAGGGACCACAGGGCTCAGGGCAGTGGAGTCACTCTGGGGAAGAAAACTGGGGCGGGCTAAAGAATCAGGAGGGATTGCCGAGACGCGAGGGAGGGAGAGGAGTCCAGGCGAGGGGGGCGGGCGGGGAACATCAGTGTTTGCAGAGCTGTGGGGAGATCGTTAGATTTATTTAAATGTGCAAACACCCAGAAAGACCCGATTCGAGCTTAAGGGGCGCTCACGGTTACTCGTTACCAGGGTTTTGATCGCTAGCTTCGGAAGCAGCTCCTGGCCAACACATTTCAGGAGTCCAACTCCGTGTTTTATTCTGCAAGATCCGCCTCCACCCCCGTATTACAATGCGAGTGTTTGTCATTGGGTGCTTCATAGTGATTTGTCCCGTAATGCAGTAAATCAGTAAATCACCCCCCCCATTTTTTTGTCACGTTTAACCTTGTTTAATCGTGTAAGCACAAAAGAATTTAACTACCTAGTTACACTAATTTCAGCAGCAACATTGTTAAAAGATATTTCCCATAAGTAGTGTTACCTCGGTCTTGGCAAGTTTCTTCTGCCTTATTTTTCATTTTCTTCCTGAAAACAGGTACTATAGCAGACTCCATATTAATTTTTAAAAAAATCAGTCACGGGCATACAGGGAGTTTTATTTTTTAGGCATCACCGGAGAAATTATTTGTGGCAAAGCCTGGAAAGGTCTTAACGTGGTAGCATCAAGGAGAGGAAGGGGCAGTCTTTGTTAATAGATGATACCTGGGAAGCAAAGAGGAATGATTCTGTACGTCCAAAAGGGAACGAAAATATTGTAAGACGGTGTTAGCACCTGAAAATAAGTGACTTTCAGAGAGCTTTTTCTTGGAGTAGGGAGGGAGCTGAGGCTAGGACGTGGAAAGGAAAGGCAGAGGCAGGACTGCGGAGGGTAGCTGGTACTGGAAGCCATCCTCAAGCAAACGGATTTTTCCGAAGGGGATTAAAGTCAGAGGCCAGGGAAGGAAAATGGCTGGAGAGCCCCGCAGCCAATCAGAAAGCCCACCAGGACGAGCCGCAGCCTCAGGTCGTTCCCGGCGGGCAGCGTTATTCGCTGGATGGGTGGACACGCTCGGCTTCTTGATAAGGGTGATGAAACTTGGGGTGGGAAATAGTGTCCCTCGTCCGTCTAAGCACACTAGTGAACCTACGCCAGTTATCGCTCTGGTGCGGTGTCGGGGCCCCTTCTGGGCACAGACTGTCCCCAAACTCGGCCACTTGTGGTCCTCCCCGGGGGGGGGGGGGCGGGGCA